TTGTTACTAATTCAATTCGCATAGAAAGCAAATTAATTTATAAACCACCAGTTGATTTTGCGTTAGTGCAATTGGACAAAGAAGACGCTTAAAAACAACGTGCCCAACAATCCGCACGGTTTATTGTTTAGCAAAAGTGTTTCAAGGCGTTATTGGAAAAGAACAAACTAGAATCGATTTGCTTTTTATATGGCAACAAATGCCATTGTTTGCTTTTTAGCCGGCGAAAAAAAACGCACGGATCTGGTTTAGTAAAGCCGCAGTTGTTTGCCAAGTCCGTTATTTTTGCATGTAATTATCGGTTTAATTAAATTTCGCAAATGCTGGCAGTTTTCAGTATGCCTCTTATGCCAATTGCGTAATTGAAAAGTCACAATATAAATCGCAAAATCGCCCGATCCTCGTGCGCTTGATGGATTTTTGCTCTGCCTCTTCAAGGCGTTATGGTAATAGAAATCATTTGCTTGTCTGATGTGTGTAAATCTTCCTTTCCGTATCTCAGCATGGCATTTCATATGTTGGGAATAAATCCTGCGACTTTGCAAGTTGATTTTTAAAAGGCGCAGAGGAAAATAAATTGTACGTGCGCTCACTTGGAGCCGAAGGATAGAAACAGCCCACCACTGATTGTATATCATCTCTTCAATCCGGATGACGCACCTTGAATACCGAAAAACCGAACAACTCAAAAAGATTGTTTTAAGTTTTTTTTTGGGAAAAGAGGAGGGGCTTTTTGTCTCTTCTTCGCCTTCAACAAGTGGGCACGAAAGACACGGAATGTGTTTTCTCCAAACCGGGGCCCAGACGAGGAACAAACAAGGTGCTGTAGTGTGTACATAATTGTTTTGTTTATTTTACTGCAGACAACTCCATTGTTCATAATTTGACTCGTTATTGTTGAAAAGGTGGTTAATATTAATATGATTTCGCCTGGTTTGAAACAGAAATACTTTTTTAAAACGATTAGTTGATTAATAATTTTCTATTTGTTTCAGGTAAGAAGCAATCAGTGCCTGAGTAGGTAAGAGATTGCTGCAAAGGTGAACCAACGTAAATCACTGCAATACTGTTTTCTGCTGCTTCCGCTTAATTTATTTAAAAAGGACTAAACATGAATCCAGAATGACCAGAAATTTTACGAACAGGCAATTTTATTCAATAATTATAGCTTGATATGGATGGAACCAAAAGGTCCGTAAAAGGATAATTTTTAATCTAAATATTTACGATGGAATCAGTTCAATTCTGTTCATTACAAAACGGGTTTCCTTACTTTAATCACGAAAATCTCAAAGAGACCACATAGCACGATCCAATAGAGGAATATGAAGCCAAAATTGGTAATGCTCCGAAAATATCGACGTTCTGATGGTTATCTAGCGACTCATGGTCCGAAAAAGCCTCGACATTAGTTATCTAATTTCGGTAATTCTTACAGAAGTACCAACTAATAAAGGTGACTGTGCGATTTTTAACTATGGTTCAGTAAATTTCGCTTTGAACGAGGATCTTGAATTCCCGGCACGATATTTCAGTTGAATAATAGACGAGGACAAAGGAAAAAATTAACCGGCCATGAAAAGGCCATTTTGTTTAAATCTAAAGATGACTTTTTTACTTAAGTAGACCTGTTTTGTGCCTCAGCGCACTGCAAATGTTCAACACACTTGCCCGGATTTTTGCTTAATCGTTGGGCTTCGTTTTCTTCTGTGTAACCGTTTCTGCGATTAACCGGCTGAACTAGAAACGAAGAAAAATGATTCGAGATCGAGTGGTCCGAAAGTGTGTAACGCATTGGTATTCAACCGGAGTATACCGTAATTTTTCCTTTTTATTGTTTCCTTTCTTGATATCTGGTTTGTCCTTAGCTGCCTTACAGCTCAAGCAACTATTGCCGTCGCTTTTATTATTCAGATAAAATCTTTGATTTTTTCCATGTTCCATTAATTCGCTATTCTATGAACGTGCCTCATTATTATTAAATTCAGCCGCACACAGACATTTTTTCTTCCTGATCTTTGTTCGTCTGATAAATTTATGTTCAGCAGCTCACATATCTCAATAATGGCTCGAGAAGGACAATATTGTCTGTTTTTTTCTGTTTGGAAGAACTTGCAGATGCCATAATTACAGTTGTTATGCCGACCGCTTATATTGCAAAAATTGATGCTCAAGCGGATCATTGCCAAGGCAAGTGGAAATTGGTGGTAAAATCTTCTGTCACATTAGATAATTGGCGCAGTCGGTAGGTTTTTTTGTCGCGATTAACTTAATATGCTGGTTGTACCATCCCAGGATCGAGAGACAAGATCTCAAATCGCTTGTCTTTGCAAATATCTAGATTTTGCAAAGGGCAACCACTGCCGAGTCGAAAATTCGACCTTATTCCAAGACAAAAGGGGCCCTTCTCGGAATAAATATTCAAGAAAAATGGACTCTCAGAGGGACCGATCCGACCAGCGCAGGTATCGAGCGCATCAAAGAGTTGAAAATCAATCAATCAGGTCTACACGTAACAATACAAATACTAATGGTAGTCAGAAACAGGATTCTAAAGAGTAAATGGAGAACTCTGGTCGGTCACATTAGATAATTCATGAAGAGCAGGAAAACTTTGCCTGCTTCCAATCATTGACTTTGTAACTGTGTGTCCTCATTACAGAAAAACCATTACTTATAACATTCTCGACGCATTTTTTTCATATTTCCTCTAGCCAAAATTATCCTGCTCCAAGCTGGGGTGGTCTTCAAAAATTGACAAGGAAAATGCAATTTTTAGAGGTCTCTGTCTTATGCTTAAACCAATAAAACTAGTTTTTTTTACCAAGCTGGAAGATTCGAATGAAAAATCTGCTGTGATCGCAAATTATGCTGAAAGCGCAGCAGAAGTCTGTTAAAAATCATGTTATCTTCACTAACATTCGATTAATTTTTCCGTGTAATTTCTTCTTACATAAAACCCGAAGATTTATGATCGACTGTAATTAAGTGTCATGGAATATTTATAGTGTATATCATGATCGACTCGCCCGTAGGCTTAATGTTAAAGTTGTACAAGAAATTTCGTTTTCACACGCAAAATTACCAATTTCTCCACAATTAAAATTAAATATTTGCTTAATGGCCGCAGTGGCCTCCTACATTTTCATTAATAAGTAAATTGGCCGCTATTAGAACCATTAATCATCACGATAATGCTAATAACTATCTACTGGGGTTACTTTCAATCAAATTAGCTACACGCCGTTAAATTACACGAAAAATTCGCTAATGTGTTTCGCAATTGATAAGTGTGACTTACCGCCATCATTGTTCTTTGCGGCAATTTGCTTTTGGCCTCGTCTTCATACTGAAACATGAAAACACAAAATCCAGTTTACGAATGATTCAAAAAAACAGATTAATGCGATTTATTAATAACTTAACGCAACAAAGCTTGATATGAAAGCAGAAGAACACTGCCAAAGAAATTGTCAAAGGCTCACAAAAAGTTTCCTTTTGAGCAAATTCAATTGGAAATTGTTTTTTTCGCAACCGATTCTAATATGACAAAAACACAAGCACTGCTAAGAAGTTTAACGCATAAAATCGACAAGAAAATTGCAAACTTTGCGCTAAAGTTTCAGGTAAAAAGGGAATCAAATTTTCCAGATCTCGAATTGGGGCTTTTTACCAAAGAAAATGACTCAAGTAGAATGAATAGACTTTCCGATTGAATTGGGGATTTGTCTGTTTGTAAATTGAGCTCTTGTAACAAGTTTAACGTTCCCAGGGATTTTAAGCATGTGAAGATGTTGGTTTTTCAAATCTGAAAAAAGTTTGCGACTGCTTCGACTTGAAGAAAGAAGACACCAACTTGCACTCATTAGAATTTCAAAGTTACGGCAGTCGCTGAAGATTAAATTTCCCAAGGCCAAAAGTCTGCTCGTGTAAAGTCAGGCTCGCGCTCTGCCCCCGGCTGAAATTTATTACGCAAAAGTGGACATTGCCCTCAAGGAACACGCTGTTGGCTATGAGGAACAGTTTCACGTCAAATAGCATTTTTCGTTCTACCTGTTTGGAGTAGCAAACATTCATTTTTTCTCAGTCAACCGGGTTTACCCCCCTAGGGCCATAATAGGATACCGTTGCTTGCACAATGATGCAATTTACTATCGGGATGGACCAGGGGTGCGATTTTTTGCCACAGAATGTACCGGGAATGTACCAGCCGCGAAAACCGTTGGGTTCCATTCGCAATTTTTTATGCCCAAACCCAAACTATTCTGTAAAACAGGTTCAGTGGTCTTCAGACATATGGGTCAACATTTCAACAGCGTGAAACAGAATATGAACTGAACCACTTTTCTGTAGCGGATTCATTAGCGTTTGGTAGCTGAAGTGCGTGTATTAAAAATGAAAAATGAAAGTCGAAGCGTATGGCCCACTGACCAACATTTGCAGTCGAAACTAAATTTTATACTGGCATTACCATTACACACGCACCTAGTTTTGGCTCAACCCAGTTAAAACTCTCATAATTATCATTTAGCAGCTTTAATCGGCTTCAGAGCGGCTACAATGAATAAACCAATTTTTCACCAATGTACTAACGAGTTCTGATCGTGACGTTCTGATGTCTTTGTTGACTTGCCAGAAAGAGTGTTGCAATTTAATTTTCTAAACTGGGAATTTTGACCCTTTTGTAGGAACTAGATTTGAAGATTATTAATAACGTTATTCAAAGTATTTGCCTGTTTTACACTTTAAAGTTTAAGATTTCATTTCAAGTTGGCATTTGAAAAAAATCAGCAAATCTGCGCTTGTTCTTGCAGAACCAGCAATCAAGTAACTTGATATGTTAACGCCTGCTCTTCGTAATGTCTTGACTACGATGAGGGTTTTTCCGTGTGTAGGAAGGAATGTAGATGATTTTTTGCCCCCGATTCGGTTTGGGAAATGCTCTCTCAGAGCAAAAGTGGTGAATGATCCCGAAATGTAGATGATAATTTTCGTTGCAGGTAGAGAAGATCTGTCGCCTCCAAGCAGCCTGAACGGATACAGCGCGGATAGTTGCGATGCGAAGAAGAAGAAAGGCCCGACTCCCCGACAGCAGGAAGAACTCTGCCTGGTTTGCGGGGACAGGGCGTCGGGATACCACTACAACGCCCTCACATGTGAGGGATGCAAAGGCAAGTCGAAATTCCCGAATAAAAAATGTTTTCCTAAACGCTCTCGTCCCGTTCCAGGCTTCTTTCGACGGAGCATCACAAAAAATGCAGTCTACCAATGTAAATACGGCAACAATTGCGACATCGATATGTACATGCGACGGAAATGCCAAGAGTGTCGGCTGAAGAAGTGTTTGACAGTGGGCATGAGGCCCGAGTGTGTAGTTCCTGAAACCCAATGTGCTGTGAAAAGAAAGGAGAAGAAAGCCTTGAAGGATAAGGACAAGCCGAACAGTACGACCAATGGGTCGCCCACTGGAGTGATCAAAATCGAGCCAGAGGTAATTTCAACTGTTTTACTACGATATTTCCAATGCAAACCATGTATTTACAAATGTTTTCGAAGCGCGAACAAACGAAATCAAATAAAAAGCCAATACAGCAGGTGTACAGGGTCAAACAGGTATTACGATACAGTCTATGGTCAATTAAGTTAGAATATAAACAGAATTGGCGTTAAATTAAACTTTAGACCATAATAGGAAGTCAATGGCTAAAGAATGAACTTTTTACTTTTTACGGCCATGTCTTTATGATGGTTTTTTAATGCGGAGAAAAATCAGTCTTGTTTTATAGGTACCTTACTTTTGACTTATCAAATCAACCAACAACTCAATTTTGATACTGTTCCTACTTCCTTTTCACTCGCTCCCACAATAAAAAACATGCTGATAAAACTCGTTGCCCACATCAAAGTCTGATTAAGAATGGAGTTGTTAAAACTACACGAAACTTTGAGTGGAATAGTTGAGGAATAAAGCGAAACTCATTTGAACTTTTAACTAGGCACTTTTCCCAACAGGCAAAGCTTTGACCGTTCAGAGAATCCAAGAAATATTAAAAAAGATTAAAAAAGACCCACTTATCACCAGATTTAATTTGGACTATCCCCTAAACGATAATAAATTGACAGTAATTCATGAGCAGCCAGCAATTCTTGGCATCCAGAAATGTTGGCAACGCATCCAGAAACGTTGGCAATCAGTTCAATATTTAATCTTCAAAGACATTTTTTTCACTGACCTATTATAAAAAAAATTGTGAAAAGCCGTATCGAGGCCACTAAACAAATAACCAAGTTTTCCTTATTGTTCAAAGTGCGAAGAAGAGGGTTTTCAGAGCTTTAAAACTGGTGCCTTGACCGATTGTAATCAACAATTCCAAACAGATTTATGGCCATCAATTCATTCCAAAGGTCCAACACCAGACATTTACGCTATTTATTTCAATATAAAACTAAAATATCTACCTGAACCGTTAATTCACAATTACATTACGATTTAAAAAATCCCAATTTAACAGTAGAATAGAGACATTAATTATTTACCTTAAACTGCTGTAACAGTAGTTTCAGTTATTTAGACGAGCAGTTTTTGAAATGCTTTATTTGGTACCACTTCAGCTGCTCATTGCTATAATATGGTAATGAATCGCGACCATTAATAATTAATTAACAAAAGCAATTAAAAAATATAATATAAACGAGAAGCCGTATCTGTGCTGGTAACAATAGTGCAGATAATTTGCTCAACACTTCACCTGTATTTTCCCATGCATTGTTCGTGCATGCGGAACCTTATTCGGGACGGTTAAGTGACAAAATCAATTTATCATATGCAATATTGGAAATGGCCAAGAGTGTCTGGTGAGAAATTCGACGATAATATAATGGAACTAACTGCATTCGGTTTGAAGACTGTTAAAAGCCCTTGACTGTAATTGGCCAAATTTGGACAAATCTCACCTGATTTTTCGAGTCCAATGTTTCATAAAGTAGGTATAAAATTAATCGAAAAACGATTGGTATTAGCGAACATTATCACACTGATTTAGGCGAATATACAAACAAATATTAGTAAAAACATGGTTTGAAACAGGAAACCTTATAATTACACGTACATTTCCATTACATATACTTACAAGTGAAAGTGGTCTTATATGGAACATATAATCGCGTGATGGATTAAATGTAGATCATAATCTGCTTAGTGGATGTTGCCTAATACAGCTCCAAGGGTTTATGAAATTCGCACACTCAGACTCTCAGTTGAGCTAATTTATCAACCATCAGATACACACCCGATTTTTTTATACTCTTAATGATAGTGGCCTTTCATTATAGCTCTATCTTTCACTTGGGGTCGATGTAAGTAGGCCGTTTCCCGTTACTAATGCATTTAGCAGCTCTTGTTCTCACAGTTGGAAGGAGGCGAAAAATCGACCGGTGTCAAGCCAATCTCCCCCGAACAGGAAGAGCTCATACATCGACTGGTTTACTTCCAAAATGCTTACGAGCACCCATCGGAAGAGGACGTGAATAGGATACTGGTAAGGACAGAATGTAAAACTCTCCGATTGAGCGCCAACTAATTTGTTGGCTTTTTAGAAACAACCCATGGACGATGAAGATCAGCGTGAGGTCCGTTTCAGGCACATAACGGAAATAACGATACTCACAGTGCAACTAATCGTCGAATTTGCTAAGCAATTGCCTGGCTTCGATAAACTTCTTCGTGAGGACCAAATCGCTCTTTTAAAGGTAAACAAATCGCCAAAAATCGAATCAACCGATTTTTCTATATTCCGTTGATTTAGGCGTGTTCGAGTGAGGTAATGATGTTCAGAATGGCGCGACGGTACGACTATCAAACGGACTCCATTCTATTCTCGAATAACCAGCCATACTCCAGAGATAGTTACAATCTGGCAGGAATGGGCGAAACCATCGAAGATCTCCTACATTTCTGTCGGACCATGTATTCAATGAAAGTCGACAATGCCGAATACGCTTTACTCACTGCCATTGTCATTTTCTCCGGTAAGTTTAAGGGTTTATTTCAGTTTTTTTTCAATTGAATATAAGTGATGAATTATGAGATTTTTTTGCCCCGAAATATATTTGAGGCAATTAATAAAATTGTTTAAAATCCTGACGAAAATAACGGGAAATTATTATATATTCTCAAGTGAAGCCCCATTGTTCAAACCATAAAAAATCGGCCAGGAATTTTTTTTTGCTGGAATTAGAACATTTGCCTTTCTTGTGTGTGTGTGGATAAGATGTTTTCCTGTCTGTTAATAATTGCGAATTGTCCCATATGAGGGGTTCCCGACGTAAATATTCCCTAACTTGATTGTGCGCGATATTTCGTAATTGTTGAAATTGGAAAAAATCAGAAAAAAATTACGCCAAATTATCTGAAAAATGCATTTTATTACTACACGATATTCGTTTTTGGAGACAAACGAGCTTTTTTCAATGCAAGACGATTACAGAGCCATCAAAATGCATCTTCAAGCTCAGAAAGTTTTTTTTTGATAACTAACTTTTTCAAGTTGTTTTAAACTGAAGCATTTACGAAACGTTAATGCACTTCTTCCTGAGCATTGTTCATTCGAATAAATTGCAACAAAAATCTTCGTAGAAGACTAGCAAATCTTCCCGTCGTCCACAGCATCAAAACTGTTAAAAATGAAGAACGAGCGTCACAAATTTAGCCTAAAGTACTTGAAGAGTCAGACGAATTGTTGTTCATGACGACACTATAAATGCATGGAAAATGTTTTTCTTTAAAGTAAAAACGAACGCATTTTTTTCTTAAAAATGCATCTTATCACGATTGAATACGGGTTTTTGTAGAAAAAGTCAGCTTTTATCAACCAAAGACGATTACAGAGGCATCGAAATACAGCTTTAATCACAGAAAGAAACTCATTTTTTGTAACTTATTCAAGTGTCTTTAAACTGAAGCATTTAGGCAAACGTCGTGAGTTTTTTGAAGACGAAAATCTTCCTGAAAAACTTTGCGACGCGAGATCTTCGCATCGTCTAAAGCATAAACAACTGTTGCAAATGAAGAACGACCATCACAAATTGAGCAGAAAATAATAACAGTTTTAAATTGAATTAAAAACCCAGAATCGCTGAAGTGTTTTGTATTGTTTCAGAACGACCATCACTTCTAGAGGGTTGGAAAGTGGAAAAGATCCAAGAAATATACCTCGAAGCGTTGAAGGCGTATGTGGACAATAGAAGGAAACCACGGGCGCACGTAATATTCGCAAAACTCGTGTCGGTGTTAACTGAACTCAGGACTCTGGGCAACCAGAACTCAGAAATGTGTTTCTCGTTGAAACTCAAGAACAGAACATTGCCGCCGTTCCTCGCGGAGATTTGGGACGTCGACGTGAAGACATAGTGCAGAAAGGAGCACGATAACGGGTGAACCCGCATGGGTGGTGTGCTGGCTTGTCGCTATCTTTGCTTCGGAGCGATCAAGGCGCATGTTGGAATGATGATGATGAGCTACAGAGAGCACGGAGCAAACATAGAGATATTTACCTCACACCACCACCAGTTGGCTGTGAAATATTGTAAAGTTATACTTTTTTTTAAATACTACTGATTAATAGAGAGTTGGACGGCATCTAGGCAATACGTTGAGGAGATAGATTTATTTAGGGCCGTTTCAACCACTAACTGTAAGCCTTGAGTTGATTAGGTCAAGTGTTCAGGCTTCAAGTGTTGGTACGAACGGTATTTAGGTTGATTAATTTAGCTCGATTTTTCATACTAAGATTTAAACTAATGTAGATTTTATAAGTCTTGTAAAACTCTAGAACTTTTGATAAAAGTAACTTTTGGCGATATGCTTACATACACAAATTGGTAAGACTGGGACTGGGACTGATACAAAAAATGGTGCCTTCACGAAATCACTACCACTCAGACTGAGGGCAGGTGCAAACAATGGAACTAGAGAAATTTCTTAAGACATTGGCGATTTGTTAGTATGGATTAGAACAGTGCAATTTAGTTAATTTTACTAGATGGAAAGGATGAATTGTTTTTTACTATTTCATTGTTAAATTCGGTACCCTACGAGCTTTGCACGGAACAAACATCCCCTTCCAGGAGTATATTTGTGGGGTACTTTGTTAACTAATTTATGTATGCACCAATTTTCCGTTAAAATTGATGGAGAGGGAAACAAATGGCAGAATTACTTCCAAAACGACGCACGTTCGAAGCAGCCGTCCGAAACCACTAACCATTTTTAATATAGAGACAGTGAATATGTGAAGTGATTCCAGAGCGACAAAGACAGTACTATTCTCCCCCGACAAGTGCCATGAGATTTGGGCATAGTCATACGTACATAATATTTAACCCTACACAGACTATCCTGCCTTTCAAAAAAACACTATCAATGTTTAATCTCTTTGAATGTGTAGCTGTCAGTCTACTCATTTTTTATACTGTATATTTTTCCGCATAAGTATTTCCGCTGCTAGTTTATACAGATATTAGATGCATATACATATTTTTCATCGATGTAAATAATACATATTTTCATACCGAATGAAAATCATATGAGACAGATGTGTATTTTAATTTTCAATGGTTTGGGGGCATTTCTGAACGTTATTTTTTTGCTGTTGCTCGCCTCGAATTTGCTTCTACCGCGCTATAAACACATTGAAAATTACTGAGAATGAAGTGGAAATGAATCAGTTTGCACCGAAAGTTGCTAGAGCTCGAAAATTAATATGTTTCTCAACAAACTAAGTCGTATATTTCATTTTGCTCAAATGCAACTCTCATTGACAAAAATTAAATTATAAAAAAAACAGCAAATTAAGGAAATACAAATACACTATACAAGGTGTCCCGTGACTCGATGGGCATTGCTTAAGAGCCTTTTTTGGACATATTTAAGTCGAAAATTACTTGGAAGATGGAATTTTAGCGAAAAGTTCAAAAGTGTGACGAAGCTAAGGGCAAATAAATTGTAAGAGAACATGAAGAGTAAATATAAGAGTAGGTATGCAATGTTTTATTACAACCACAAAGTTCCACTGCCTCACAGCTCATTCTGGCGCTTTTTAAGAGTATTTAAGAGTATATTTGTATTGGCTCAAGCTGTCGCCATCGAATGACACAACACCCTGTATAGCGTCCAATTTACCAAATCCATCGACATCAACTCTACAAGATTTTGTTGTTGGTCTTGAACAATTTCGACTTGAATTGAAAAGTAAATCGTTAGACTCTGGTTTAAAAAAGCAAAAAAATATATTCAAACTAGTGCGAGCCCGAAACAAACAAAACTGCCACTAAAGCAATACTCTCTCTTAAGTACGTAATATACTCGAACGCTTGAAAAAGTCAGAAATGTTTCCCTAAGCCAATCCAAATGATGTTCACTGACATGGACATCGTTTGGATGTCTTGCACCATCCAATGCCTTAACATGGGAAAAACACATATTGGTTTATCTCAGGAGTCAACCCCCAACCTTCGCTATTCAGGTATATAGTGTGTTGTTCAAATAAATGTCCGAATATTATACAGAGAGGATATATTTTCCGCAGTCGAGGATATAAATAGCGTTTTGAGCATGTACGAGTAGATGTTTGTTGAAAATTGAGAAGTATATAACATGAAAAATTTAATATATTATAGTAAAGGGTTTGAGGCAAGGATATGCTGTCATAAATACTGGATAATGCCTGGCTTAGAAGGGATTAGGCATTATTTCTTTGCATAAATCCCTGATAGACATAGAGGAGACCTTTAAGCAGGTGTACAAAACAATGATGGTACAAAAAACTTCAGGAAGAAATTGTTACATTTTCAGCAATCGGTTGACTCCGTTAGTTCTTTCACTGCCAAATTTGGCTCTGTCTCAATCATCATCCCATTCTCAAAATGACTCTTATTGGTAGATAAGAAAATCCCACAAAACTCGACTCTCAGCTAAATTACTTAAATATGAAGTTACTTAATACTTAGAGACTGAAATTTTTTCTTTATGTGTATATTGGAATTTTTATTTAATTAAAATATCGGAACTTCATAGTTTAGGTAGGTGTGTAGGTAAAGTGTTTGTTAAAACTTGCTGATCAGTATGTGTGAGCGCAAACACAAGTCGAGCTTTTCCCGAACTGATGTTGGTGGGAAGAGCTTTTTGTGAGAGATTTTAAAAGACTGGATTCTAGATATCAATTAATGTTTTAACGAAACGTCAGCAAGTGGGGTTGCTCTCTTTTTCTCGAAATATTCATTCAAAATCTTCATACGAGCAATGGAATGAGTATATTTGGTCGGTTTTGTGGGAAACCAATTTCTGAACGAAATCCACGCAGTCCATATAACGACTAAGATAATTCGATACTAGCTTCTTAGTATCTCAACTTCGTACTAGAATAGCAGTTATTGCTTGTAATAATCATCAGTGTTACATAATTTTGCATTTTTCATAATTGACGAAGTCGTAAATACATTAAAACGAATCAAATTAATTTTTCTTATATAAAAAACACCATATACTTATTATAAACACTGCCAAGCGTTTTTGGACTGCCATCATTTTTAAATACCTAACCGTAGTTCCATGTCGATTGTAAATGTGTGTCGTTTAAATGTAATAAAAAAATCATCGTGAATTTACTCCTAATATTAAACAACTGCGTGGATTTTCGTTAACTTAATATTAACAAGGAAACGACTGTAACTGTGTATATGTTAAACGTAATTTTTTATGTTTTCTATTCGGTACTATTGATATGATCTGGTTGGAAGGCTTTACATCACATACATGGTATTGAATGCCAAATTGTAGGGCCTTGTAACATCGAACATAAAATGTGTTAATCGGAATGAAAAATGAGAACTTAGCGGGCATCTCTCAAGCACTACCACTTTTTGTTACATATTTATTTATTATGATGTACTAATTTTAGCTTTATCGTTAAAAAATCATAACTCTATACACAATGTTTTCCTTCGAAATCTTATTTAGAATATGTATGTACGATATGTAAATAATTTTTGAAAATTACCAATAATTTACTTTTATACGTTTCTTTATCAGTTTTGCTTTTGTCTAAGCAGGTAGAATGATAGTTGATTTACTCATTGTTTTTTGAGATAATTGAATACGAAATTTGCTCAAAATTACGTTGCCTTTTATGTGCCAAACCTGCTGTACTTGCATGCTATGGGACACATTTCTGTTGGAAAATTTCTATGGAAAGTTTGAAGAATGTGAGGAATCCAATGCGGAAAACATGCATTGGTACTACGATTCGTAACACTTTCTAGGGATTATTTATTGTCACAATCTGGAGATGTTTCTTTAGTAATTGTCTAGTGTTTAGGGCCTCCAGGATTTCGATAATGAAAGCTTACTTGCGTTGTAGATTATCGTTGACCAACACTTTATTAGTGGTGTTCCTCACGGAAAAACCTTTTTCAACAGTTAATCGACATTTCAGGACATGGGATATTGTTGTTTGGCTTTAGTAAAACAGGGAAAAGTTCTGAACTTGTGTGCCTCAAAAAGTGGTTAAAAAATGCATTTCCAGAAGAAACACCACTAAGAACAACTTCTAGTAAAGGGATAATCTTCAGCGTAAGGGCGATATTCATTAAGTAGTTATGATTAACTCCAGAAGAGTTCAAGAAACGTTTATCTGAGAGTATCGCCGGAAACCAGTAGCTTAAAGTTAAAAAAAGGAGCATTTTTGGAAAACTGTATTTACCAGTAGCTCTTCTTTCCATATTTACATGGACCGTGTAGTGGAAAAATCCGTAGTCACCTCAAAATTCTAAGCACTGTTATGTAAAGACACCCCGTTTGAGACCAAACGTCAGACGGTTTCAAAAATCGCATTTTCTCAGCAAAAATCGCACTTTGAACAAGAAAAATACCATAAACCGATAGAATCAAACTTCCCATTTGAGGAAATCAACAGTTTTTGGCACAGAATTTAAAAAAATCAAAAATTTTCGAAAAATTGATGGATCGATGTGTACACTCTTGCCCAACCGCGACTAAAGTGAGCAAAAACGTCATGCGCGTTGACAGGCGTTTAAAGGCGCGTAATTCGAATTTTATCAAGACTTGGATGGTGTTTTAGGACTTCCTGTGTAAAGTGCCCCCAGAAATGCGCTTTTTTCATGTTCATGTAATGTTTATTTTTTTTGTCATTGAAATGCGAAAAAATACATAACATACAAAAAGACTGCAACTACACAGTGGTCGCATGCCTGCAACTGAGTTTTTAAACGTAATTTTGATTTTGGAATATTCGACTTTTTAGTTATTTTTCGTTAAGCTTTAGATCCGGTGCAACTGTTCTATCTGCTCATTCAAAAGGAACCATTCCTACAACAAGAATTCTAGATAAAAGCATAGATTAATTATTGGAAACGTGCAATATGTACAAATTTAACTAATTTTTTATATATATAACTATGTTAGGACTGTATATTGAGATAATTAGTTGTGTTAACTTTTACACACAAAAAATGCTGATTGGCAGTATTATAAGCGTCAGTGAAACGTTGTTGGTTTTTTTAAGAATACCGGAGAATGGACATGGAAGCTTTTCGGTCAGTCATTCAAGTACTGTTTTATAAATATTATAGTTGATTTACTGTACAGGATGCCGATATGTTACGTTGTTTGTGACTGGCCGAAAGTCGCAAGTCCCAATACAGTTGACCTGCAACATACCTGGAAAAAACGAGAATTGTAAGCAATGAACTGTTTGATGATATATTTTGTGCAGTAAACCGTAAATTAATAGAATTCGCTGTGTTTTATTCATTATCCTTACATTCAGCCTCACTGGGTTCCATTCACTGCAATGTCGGGTTTGATCAAGTTCCTAGTCATCCATCCTAAACAGTACGCTTGATGGGCATCAGTGATTTCAGGTGCACCTGAAAAGCAACTAAATTCCTTCAAGTTCTCTCAAAATATAATAGTTCCTACCGTCTGAAGGGCATAAGTCGCTATAATCGGCTTGTGCTAATTGATAATCCCCAAACCGCCCCTCAATTAGGTCCTGGAAGCTGTCTAGTAGAAACCACAAAGAGCTTCATGATTAGATCTTACCTTAAGAATTGCATATTGTATGGGAAAGCACATGGTGCGTGTCACAATTTCTGCAATAACGTCCATCATCCAGTCCAGCAACATTTGCGAGTTTTTGTTGATGATCGTGAATATCAAATCGCAATTTATATATTTTCCAATATAGAGCAGATATAGATTGTCGCCTAACTTTGGTCGCTCTCTTAATGGAATAGTCTGAAAGACAACAGTTGCAAAAACCTTCATTAACAAGAGCTGTTCTTACATCAATATTTCTCACTAGGTTCAACCACATTCTCTCTGTGTAGTTGACAAGATACAGGCCAGGAGTTTGGTGGGTGTTGAAGAGAATCCAGTCAGATAGATTTCGAATTTCTATCTCAACTATTAACATTCAGTTGCAATATATGGGCGTCCTCAAAAAATCCTTACCACTTTCCAAATCTCGGTCAAACCATATAAGTCCTCTGCTTCCATTTCCCAGTCGATATGAAACTGGCACTGTCCACTTGGAGCTGGAATATGCAAAATAATCAACTAATTAGCTCGAATTACTCACCTAACTCATATTCTTTTGAAGATCCTGAAACCTGTTCCAAAGTATACAGCCCATCACCAGAATCATTTACATTTATAATTGGACACCCCTCTTGGAATAGGAAGCTTTCCAAAAAAGACCTAATGTTGATGTTCGGAAGCTTCTCTTCAAATGCTTCAATCACATCGTTCGTTGTAGCTGTCTTAAATAGATGCTTCTTCAAATATTCCTTGGAGATTTCTTGGAAAGCTTCTTCACCGATCAGGCGTTCCAATGACCTCAACAGATAGGAGCCCTGGAAAGGTTGGCAGCAAAACCTGTAGACTCTGGTCTCTGGTCGGTGTCAAACGATACCTTTCGATAAACCACTTGATTGAAACGATCCTGAGTGTCTTGAGTGTTGTTCAAAGGCACAACCATTTGCCTCATTGTGGACTGGTCTTCGAACCGGATTGCGCCCGTTAAAGTCATTTCTTTGATCAACTGCAGAAGAAAGTTATGGGATTTGTGCCGCTTTAAATCTAAAAAACTTGCATTTCGTCTCGATGTGCTCTTTTTAGAAATAAAAGAGGCGAAACTCTCTTGGATCCATAAATCGCTCCACCAGTCATTGGTTACTGAAATGACTTTATCATCAGAAAAGCTGAAGATTTTGTGATGAATATTGTTGAAAAATTCTATTGTTAAATGAATTATTATCAAAAAGGTTTGGCTAAAGATTACGTGAAACTGACGAGTTTTTTCAGGCCTTTGCAAGCCACTCGTGCTTGTCGAACGTTAATTTATTTTTCACAACGGCCTAAAAGCTCCAAATATGATGAATACATATGATTCAAAATATTTTATTGCTACTTACCCAAATTGCCGAACCAAAAGTGGCTCAATTCATGGGCCATCGATGTTACATACAAACCATATAGAGTGCTGTTCTGGTTATAAGATAGATATCCCCAATTAAACTGGACCAGACCCCAAGTTTCTGTAGCTGGGGACTTTTTTTTTTCATATTCGATAAAATCTGAAGTTGGGAAAATCCAAGAGAATTACAGAGAGCCGCAAGCTGAGGGTTAAATGAGATTTTTATGAACTCAGAGTAAAAGTGTGGGTGAGTCTGGATAAGATCGAGATCGAGCTAGAAAGTTTCTTTCGGGTCTGGAAACATGAGACT